GCTACCATGACATTGAGAGGGTACCTTTTGTCTTCCCATTTTTGCAAAGGTGCTTGAATGAAAGGAATACAGCCCTGAGCTTCACTGCTTGCTCACTTGATTATGTTTCTCAGCCACACTCTGTAGATCTGTATCAACCAAGGACATGGAATACACAGCTAACTGCTGTCCTCCTTCCCTCTCCCCCAGGCTCTGCAGAGCATTGCCCTCACAAAATTATTCAGAGCAATGTCAGTATCACTCTGTCAGGAGGAAGGTGCCTGAGCACTTGATGACCTCCTGAAGTCCTTTCCAACCTGAATTAGGCTATGATTCTTCAATATCTTTCATGCTTGAGCATGTGTATTTTCTTAGCAGCTGGACTTCCTAGAACATGCAGTTCCAGCTAAACACATTCTACTGTATATACAAACACACAGGAAAAACAATCTCTATGAACAGATACTATCAGATGTAAATTCACAGATAACATTCATTACAATTCCTGTGAAACATGGAAATCTATGAATTTGTGTATTTGTGTTGTCCAGCTATATACCATATGTGAGGCCAAGTTTGCAGGGAGAGAGTGCTCTCTTTAGAAGGAATTGAGTTCTTCTGTCTTTGGGTGGAATAATACACAGTTCAAGTTTTTGGCAACATTACTTGGTATCACTTGAGTATAACGCTGAGCCTGATAATTTCACCCTGAACAATGATTCAGAAGTGGGAAAGGTTTCATCTGATAGCCATCCATTGACTGTTGAAGTCAGACCTGTGGAACTGCACACATTTCAGAGAGCACATAAGTCCCAAAAGTATGAAGAGTTCCCAACTGTTAGGCAATAAACTCTGCTGTGGGATTAACCATACTCTTTTTCCTGCATACTCTCAGCAAAATTGCGAAGCTTAAAATAACATATTTGAGCCTCCGGTTCAGTTTAGATCACTAACTCCTTTTGTTGGTTTTATGAAGGAGGCTAAACATTTCACCAAATTCAGTATTAAAAATTCAAACATTCGGTCATATCTAATTAGGCATTTTGTAAGCAATAGTGTACTGTTTCACACAATAGAGAGTGAAAGAAGAAATAATAATTGTTAGCCACCACTTTTAGTTCAGAATGGGGATGTGTTCTTGCTTTGTGAATTTTCTCACGAAGAAGCTGGATATACTAATATAATAATTTACATCTACTTTTTGTGACCAAAAAAAGTATAGTTTTCTCTTTATTATGTATCTTGGGTCGTGCTGGCAATACTGTGGAGCTCTTTGCATTTCTTAATTGCAATGTGGATTTATTCCCACTAGGTGTTACCCTTCCTCTATGATTTTTGCAGGAAACCATCCTCTTTGAATAAACTCAGACCACTGGTGGGTGCGCTACCCAAAATACAAAGTAGGGGCTCATTCTTCATCCCATCGTGATGGAAACATCTTTATAAACACTGATGCAACAGAAGTGTGTCGTTCCCCCCAAAGTGTTGCTCCCCCCGCCCCCAAAGCCACCAAACCAGACACCCAAAACCCAGTGTAAATTTCTCAAAATATTAGAAGAAGAAAAGCTGTTCGATTCCATCAGATTAAGACAGCATGAATCCAACACACAGCTAGTTCTGATAGGCAGCTAACAGCAAACACTGAAATATGACTGTCTTATCTGAAGGAGCTGTTGCACAGAAATGTGATGGCAGTGCACAGTTAAAGAAATTCAACTACACATTTATTGTCATAAAGCCTAGTCTGTCCATTAGACCATATTTAATATTCAACACCCTTTACAGGAGGGTGTATGCCTTACAAGGCATTCTGTGGCAGCCTTGAATGTTGCATGTAGTAATATTTCACTGTCTCTCACACAAAGTAAGAATAAAACACTGAGATTATGACTGTGTTACACAACCCGGTGACTGACACCTAAGTAAAAATCGTTGATATATTTACCCATTGTAATACCCCCAGATGAAGTCCAGTTCTCCTCGTTGGAGACAAACACAGCCAAATGAAAAGAGTTTGGAAATGGAGAAGAAACTAGTTGAATATTTTGTGAAAAGAGGAAAAAAAATCTATTAAAGAAGTCACAATATACCAAAGCCTTGCAGCCAGGCAAAGTATCCTTGCTTGCATAAAGCATCAGTGAAGATGCCCAGAGAAGAGAATTCTTCTGAAGAGACGTTACTTCAAACTAGATATTTCATTGCTGGGCATGTTTTTTAAGCCCAGAAAATTACATCTATCTTGAAGACAAACACTGCAAGCTGGGTCTTTGCCCAGGACTGTTGAACAGGCTGTATGAACAGTATCTTCCCGTGAGAAGGCTCCTTGCTGCCTTTCTGAAGGTGGAGTCAGGGATCAGCTTGCACACTGGCACACAGGACACCGCAGTGGGACAGACTGGTTTGTACCCCTAAAGAAAGACCTGGGACTTTGGCTCAAATAAGGTGCTTGTTACAACTGTAACCCCTTCACCCCCTATGATGTGCATGGCTTTGGACATCATGTGGTGCTGCAGAGGAGCATGGTGGGTCCTTCTTATCGGGCCTCCTGCTAGATGGTAGGCAGGTGGAGGTAAAGCTCTGGAGAGCCAATGTCAGAAGGAGCAGAATAACTTACTCGCCTGTGAAGCTTCTGAAAACATGAGCTAGAAGATCCACTAAGCTCAGGTCTTACAAAGTCTGGTCTCAAATCTAACAGAGCTCAAGGTGAATAAAAAGCTCAAGTCTAATAAATATGTCAGTGCTACTTTTGTTAACCTGCATTAACACTCCCCTAATGCCAGAGAAATTAAGTTTAATTAGCAGATGAATTAATCATCCCAGTTTTTTATATGGCAGCATTTGCAAGACTCACCTGCTGGTAGGTGCAAAATCTTCTGCTGCAAATTCTGCTGTGAATAAGTGCCTGCACGAGCATTACATGATCTCATCTTCTGGGTGCACAGTTTAATCACAGTGCTCTCGATAGAGAGCCCACACTAGGGAAGCAGAGTTTAAAATATGAATCTGTGGGAGGCTCTTGAGGTGGCTTCTTGCTAAGTATGGCCAGGAGCAGGGTGACGTGGGGGGAGATGCCATGTTAAGAGTCTGAGAGGTAAAAGTAACTCCATCACCAGCAAAACACCATGCGAAAATGCCATGTGCTTTTAGTCTGGTGAATTGACCCTAAAATAGTATAAGGGAAGAAAACAAAGATTCCATGTGTGCTAGCATATAAGTCACATTATTTTCCTTTTTCTTTTTTTTTTTTTTTTTTTTCCTGTAGAGACAAACTCAGATGTTTAAATGGGTAGCAAATCAACTTCATTCAGGCTTATTTTATTTTTTTCCTGATCCTTCAGAATTGTTTTCACCTCTCTCCTACTCCCCTCAGAAAAAAACCCCAAAACCCCAAAACCAAAACAAAACACACCCCCCCCAAACAAACAACAACAAAAACCCCCTAAAAACAAAACAACACCCCCCCCCCAAAAAAAAAAAAAAAAAAAAAAAAAAAACAAATAGAGAAAAAGAGAAACAAGCTGCTTGTTACAAAATGTCAGCAAAACATCATATGAACCTACTTTGCCATTTTGCTCCCACAAATTAAAATACTTGGTGGTCAAAGTCCTGGCAGCTGGCTTTCCTGTATGGAAAAGTAATGTTCTGCATCTTTGCTACCCAGCTCTCAGTCTTGTCCAAAATTAAACTCTTGTACTTCTGAGTATCTGGTGCCCCAGGCTCACCCCATCTCCTTCCTTAGACCACAGTATCTCCTTCCCAGCTCTCCCTTGACACATGGTTCTTCTCTGTCATCTATTCCTTTTTCAAAACTTCTATTTCTCAACTCCGCCTCTTCTTCCTCTTCTCTTGGGCAAACTTAGCTTCCTTCTTGTGAACTAACTTGCCTTTCCTTCCTCTCCTATTTCTCAGTTCTTGAAGGACTCTTACCCCTCTGCATCTTTCAATTTCTACTTGCATAAGGGCATTTGTAGCCCAGAGAGGACTTCTTTCACCCCTAGGAAAGGAAGGCACTGACTATTGCCTTCATACTCCTCTCACCTTCCTGTCCTTTCAGATGTTCTCTCGAGGAAGAAAGCACACTTGAACTCCCAGAGGAGAGCAACTGAGTACATCGAGGCAACAGCTCTTTACTGTTGCTTTGCAAAGAGACACAGAAATGTAGATGAAATTCAAGCAAAAGCCTGAAACATAATTTAAATGCTCTTTGCCAACGCATGTTAAATAGGTGCTTGTGCTTCACGCAGATCCCGATGTACCTAATTAATCCAAATTAAATTTGAGCTGTAAGGGCACCCGATTGCACACCTATCCACGCAGACACGAGGAGTCAGGCTCTTCACGGTGAAGTGCCGCTTGACAGGCAGCTGGAGGGGACCCCATTGGCTCCGGGGGTCCCCCTCGCCGCCAGAATCTTCTCGGGGGCCGAGCCCCGGCGGCGGGGCACCCCCGGCACGGCGCTCCCGGGGCCACCCGACGGGGCGCGCCGCGGCTCCCGCCAAATCTCCCCCCGGGGATGCGGGTCGGATGGAGATTTTCCCGGGGTCCTCGAGGGCGATAAAAACCTGCCGTTGCGAGAGTATCTTGCGAGCCCCGCAGCAGGCAGGGGACCCGGGCGAAGCCAGCGCGGGCGGCACCGCACGCTCGCGTTTTCCCCTGTGAAGGAGACGGGAGGGAGGGCACACGGTTACCTCGTCGGGGGGGTCTCACTTGGCGAGGGTTTGGACAAGACTTAGAGGCATTAACAGGGACACAGCACGGCTCCTTCGGCGGGGCAGTAGCGTCTCGCCCGCTTCCCCGCTCCTGCACCTCGGGGCGAAGGGAGGGGGTGTCTTGCTCGAGAAAAGGCGAGATGTTTCGGAGAAGCCGGGGAGCAAGCCGAAGCCCGGAGGGGTGCGGGGAAGGGGGCGGTGTCGTCCCCCCCCTCCCCCTACGAAAGCTTTCCCCCCAGCCCCCCCCCCGGCCGGCCGCACGCCGCGGTGCCCGTCCACGGCGAAGGGTGCGCGGTGGGCTCCCCACGCCGGCAGCCGGGGAAGGAGCCCCGGGCGGGGGGGGGTGGGGGGGAGCGGGGGGTTGCGACGACGGAGTGGGGGGACGGGACCCTGCGTCAGTGCAGGGCCGTCCCCTTCCCCTCCCCGTGCGCTCGGCTCTGCCTCCCGCCAGCCTCCCCCCGCCTCCCGTGAGGTGCGGCCGCGCTACATAAACACGGCCCCGCGGCCGGGGCTCTCCGCTCGCAGCCCGGCGGAGGCGCTTGGGCGGCAGCGGGGAGCGGAGCGGCGGCGGAGCCGTGCGGCTCCGGGCGCAGACGGGGCGGGAGGCTCCGCGGGCGGCGGCGGCCCCGCCGGAGCCCAGGCGGCCGGAGGAGGAGGAGGAGGAGGAGGAGGAGGAGGAAGAAGAGGAAGGTCGGCGGCTCCCCGCCGGCGGCGGGCTCCCTCCGGTATGGCCCTGGCGGACAGCGCCCGCGGGCTGCCCAACGGCGGCGGCGTCTCGCCGGCGGCCGGGAGCGGGGCGGCGGGGAGCGGGGCGGCGGCGGCGGCGGGCGGCTGGTCGTCCTTCCCGGAGATCGTGGAGCTGAACGTGGGCGGGCAGGTGTACGTGACGCGGCGCTGCACCGTGGTCTCGGTGCGCGACTCGCTGCTCTGGCGCATGTTCTCGCAGCAGCAGCCCAGCGAGCTGCCCCGGGACAGCAAGGGCCGCTTCTTCCTCGACCGCGACGGTTTCCTCTTCCGCTACATCCTGGACTACCTGCGGGACCTGCAGCTGGTGCTGCCCGAGCACTTCCCCGAGCGCAGCCGCCTCCAGCGGGAGGCCGAGTACTTCCAGCTGCCCGACCTGGCTCGCCGCCTGGCTCAGGCCCGGGCCGCCGCCGCCTCCCGCCCCGCCGCCCTGCACCGCGACGGCTCCCTCTGCACCGACGAGCCGCCGCCGCCGCCGCCGCTCCTCGGCTACCTGGAGGCCGAGCCGCTGGAAGGAGGGGGCGGCGGTGCTGGGGCGTCCGCCCCGTCGCCCACCGCCAGCCGCAGCCCCTCGGGCGGGCCGCTGCTGACGCCCTCGCAGTCGCTGGACGGGGCGGGCGGGCGACGCTCGGGGTACATCACCATCGGCTACCGGGGCTCCTACACCATCGGGCGGGAGGCGCAGGCCGACGCCAAGTTCCGGCGGGTGGCCCGCATCACCGTCTGCGGCAAGACGGCGCTGGCCAAGGAGGTCTTCGGGGAGACGCTGAACGAGAGCCGTGACCCCGACCGCCCTCCCGAGCGCTACACCGCCCGCTACTACCTCAAGTTCAACTTCCTCGAGCAAGCCTTCGACCGGCTCTCCGAGGCCGGCTTCCGCATGGCCGCCTGCTCCTCCACCGGCACCTGCGCCTTCGCCCCCGAGCAGGGCGGTCCTGCCGATGACAAGATCTGGACCAGCTACACCGAGTACGTCTTCTGCCGGGACTGAGCACCCGCCCGGCCCGTGGCGTGGGGATAAGGTGGCGGCCCCTGCACACCCTCACACCCACGGTCCCCTCCCGGCCTGGAGGAAGGAGGACGTGGAGGGGAGGGGGCTGTGTCCCCCTGCGCTTTCCTCACGCCGGTGCCTGCCTCCGTGCACAAGGCGAGTCAGCCCCCAGCGCAGCCCCCGACCCTCCTGCACGCACCTCCTGACGGCCCCGGGGACAGGAGGTCGCCACGTTGTGCCTCGGCCGCCATGTCCCTGCTTGGCCACCCGTGGCCCTGCTCAGCCACCCTGTCCCAGCTCGCACCATCACCCTCCCTCCCAGTTCCTCCCAGTAGCTGTGTCGGTAGCGATGAAGGAGAGGGGTAACGGGAACAGACAAATTTCCCTTCCCAGTAAAGCATGCGTGTGCACCCAGCCCCTGCCCCTCTCCACTCACAGGAGCTGAGAGATAGCTCTGTCAGGGCGGGAGGGTTTAAAAAACACCCATTTAGGGGCTGAGGAACTTTTCAGTTGCTTTTCAGCAACTTCTGTTGAAGATGGCGTGACAAATGGCTGTCTTTTCTCATCCCCATACCCTTAAGCGGGTTTTCACCTTGTTGGGCAGACCCATAACTGTCTGTTTTATCACCCGTAACTGTCTGTTTTATCCCCCTCTCCCACCCCATCAAAGTGATGCCTGTCTGTGAAGGACCGTCACATAGCACGATGCCTGACTGTGAGAGGTTGGTTGGCACTCTGGCTCGTACTTCATCTGTAGAGATGAGTAATTCTGCAGGAGGCATGCGTGTGGCCCTTCACGGCCGGTTGCATCCATCTCCCCTCTCTGCTCCCTGTCTCTCTGAACTCCCCTCTCCAAGCTGTTAAACTGGACAAAGGTCTGCACAGCAGGAGCATAAAGCTGATGCGAAAGGACAGGTTTGCTGGATAACCCAACCATTTGAACTATATAGAGACACATGTTTATTCCCTTGAGAGGTAAAACAATGACGCTTTGAAAAATTAAAGTGCTTGTGAATCGTAACTTTCATGAGTGGTGTGAAGTCCTTATAATTCTCTGGAAGTTACTGTCTATAATATGCATAAAAATCTCAATGCATATTTCCTTAAACACCCTTGAAACGATGGGGGAGAGTTGAAGCCAGGCTTGCCAGAGTGAAGGTAGGGCCTGCTTCCCGGGAAGCTGAAGTCATGTACGTTGAATTAATGCAGATGTACATTGTAAGTGTAATCAAGAGCACCCCGCTTGTTTCTTTAAGTTCTGTAATGTTAGTGCTGTAAAACTTTGAGGCCAACAGAATTGATGCCGAAACCACTTTTTAAAGAACCGATTCCTTAGTTTTCATGGCAGTCCTACCAGGGCGATGACATTGCTGAGAGTTCAGTACCTTTTCCTAGACAAACTTAGTGCTTCTTAGAAAGGATTAAGCCCCGTACTTACAAACCCAAGAACAATGGCAACTTTCTTCAGGGGAAATTACCCCTTCAAAGCTGTATTTGGTTCGTGCTATCTAACAGTCTTTCTTTCCTGGAGGAGGCAGCCATAGCTTGCTTTGGAACAGACGATCTGAGCAGCAGGTTTTACAGTAGGGAAGACCGAGCAGCTCTTTCTAATAAATACGTGAAGATTGGGGTACAAAAGCTCTTTCCTTTAAAACCTGGACTTGATTTTAAAACCTGTATTGTCTATTCAGACCTTCATGGAAAAATATCCTAAATGTATCCAAAGTGTTAAAGAATTTAGTGGTACATATGAAAGGCTTGAAGTTACATTTTTAATACTCTTGAATAATAAATTGTTCTAACTCCAAATTTAGAAATACTGCGAGCACTTGTATTCTAACCAAAGAATTTCACAGTAGGGTTTTATTTTTAAAACCTTAATTCCTTTGAAAAGAGCTATAGCTACATATGTATCGAGTTGAGTTTCAGTGCTCAGTCTCTGTGTTCACCACTTGGTCTTTCATTAAATGCATGCACAATGGCATAAAACTGAAAATAATTTGCATCACCATGTTTTGTTTTGTTTTGTTTTATATTAGCAAGATTGTTTATCAACATGATTAAATTGAAGATGTGCATTTGAAAGCTGTGGGTGTTGTCCAGTTGTAGATAGTTGTATAATGGAGTATTTTTAAAAGGAGAGAAATGTATACCTGCCAAATTAGATGAGCAATAAGTTAGAGTGAGACGCCAGTACACCTGAAGAAGGAATGAAACCTGTTTGTCCTATGCCTTACTCTGAGATGATTTCTTTGTGCTTAACTTATTTATACCACAAGTGAAAGGACATTGATCACAGCCACTAGGTCTTTACAGTGCTGTTCTTGAGAATAATGACTGTCTTTTTCTAGTTTCTGTTAAGTAATTCTGAGGTATGTTTTTTAAGATTTTGTATGAAATCAGTTTTCAGTAGTGTTCAGATTCGCTCTAGATAGCTTTCTTTTTTTAAGAATCTGGTAGCTTACTAAATCCGTCATAGGAGCTATGAGTAGGGGCAGTTTTAAATTGAACTTGTGATTTAGTGTACATAGATATACAGTATATAAACATTTTACACGAATCATTTAGTTTTTTAATCATTTTAGTGCTACTGAATTTCATACTATATCTAGCTGAGCATTTACATATTACGCTATGTACATAATACGGTAATGTTTTACTGGTTTCCTATACCTGTTTCTATGGAAAAATTGAATATGAATATCAGCTTGTAGAACTGAAATCGATTACATATTTGCTTGAATGTGACTCATAACTAAAATTCCAGGTGGCTGAATGCATCTCTAAAACAAAGATTGCCTGTATTTTGATCAATGATTGCCTATCTGCTTGCTGTCAGATGATCCAGAAATTCTCATATTTTAAGTAAAAATGTGTGTAATAAAAACATAAACTGATGATTTTTTAATCTTTGTGTTTGTGCTAAAACCTCTAAGCGTTATTAGTATTAGGAAACGGGGCCCTTCATTTACTGGTAATGCATTACATTTAGGCTTACAGTGATGGTGCCATAAATGTAATAGTCATTTCATGGTTTGCCACAGAAGATGATCTTTTTCTTAAACATTACTCAGTAATTTCAGTAAAATTTTTAAAAGGTAAAATGCCAGAGGCAAAGTCACTGTGTTTAGCTCCTCTCTTCTACTGAGGGCTCAAAGAACAGATAAACATGATGATTCTGCTAGCCTGTTGATGTGCAGAAGGACAAAAATCTAAAGGTACAATATTGGAGTTCTGTATACATTTTGTAGCTGTTGTTGTTCACAGTTCATGTACTTATGGATGAATGCAATAGCATTTACAAATGCTATTAAAAAAAAAAAAAAAAAAACAAAGGCAGTCTTTCTTTTAATTAGAAGTTAAGGTTTAGGTCTTTTCAGTGATGCATATCATGAAGGGTGACTTTGCAGGTGTTTGATAGGATGTTTATATTTTTATACATGTAGATAACAAGCCACTTATTCATTCTTATTTTCACATGTATAGCACTGAAAATAAAGATCCTCCTAGGAAAATGTTGCATACCAAATTAAATTCTTGTTCTTTAAATATGAACTCAGTTGTGTGGTTTATGCTGTCCTTTTTACTCTTGTTAAAGATGTCATTAGCTTTGCTCTCTCTTCCACAGTATCATATTCATAACTTCAGCAAAGACTCCAAACTAATATGTAAAGCAGAAGCACTGAGCAAAGAATATTATGTCTATAGGGATCTCTAGTGCAAGATAAGCAGAAATGTATAATGCTCAAACCGCATACTTTCCTTTTCAGTGTCAGAGAATTTTTGTAGTACTGGTCAAAATAAATCAGCCCTTGGGAAACCATAGTGATTAAACAGCTTAATTTGAATAGCACTGAATAATTGTTGAAATAAAATGTTGATGGTTATTATGAATCCAGAGAATAATAACATTGGATATACTGCTCATTTAATGAAAGGAACATTAATACTTAAGGAAAGAGATGATCCAAGAGAAATGCATTTAGAAATTTTGTTAAGGAACAGAGAGGTAATCTTGTTAGCTACCCTGGGATCTCTAGTGAACTGTTATAAACCTGATGGTTTATAACAAACCTATGGCCAGTTTAACAGAAAATTAGTAATGAATTGCTAGTATAATCCACGTGTGTGAAACACCTGTATGTTTAATAGAACATACTTGGTTATAATGCAAAGGAACCAGCTGAAGGAAGTTTCATCAACTGTTTGATTTGATGTCTTCATAGCATTTGAGAGTTTTGTTATCATGCAATAATATAAGAAAGGAGGTTGTTCCATGGGCAGCAAAACTTTGAGTCTGTCTTTCTGCAGGCTTAGCTGTCATTTCCTCTATACTACCACTTCAATTACTCTGCTCACCCCCATCTCTTTTATTTTCCTTCTACTAGGCAAAAGACGGCGCGTTCTTTGTCACAGCCAGCTTCTGCTATGCTGAAGGTTTGGGCTGAATTCTACCTTTCTCCCTCAGTGAACTACAGATTTTTTTTTTCCCTTTTCTTTTATCCAGACAGCAATATTAATGGAATTTGTAAGAATGTAACATCTGTGAGGTTTTTTAGCTCTTTCAATTGTGTTTGAAATTACCCATCAACTCAGAAGTTCAGGGGGACAGATGTCCACCCAAATGAACAACACAAGTGTATGAGCCTTATTTCCTTAGGAAGCAAGGCTGACAACAAATTACTGTAATTAATGTCTGGCACTGTCTATATAAAACCTTTTGTCAAAGGAGGACAGAGTAGTCCAAGTGTTCTAAATCCCTATAGATTGAGGAGGCAAGCAGTCATGCTTACTTTTGTGACACTGGCCAGTCAGCCAAACAAATGGGTGGACTAGAATTGCTTAAAAATAGTTCCAGTCTTCAGATTTCTGCAGTGTTTCCAAGTGTAGCTCGAACAGCTTTGAGCCTTGTTACCACAGCCCTTCTTGTCTGCCTGTCAAACCCATCTGTTGGTACCTTTGCTGGAGAAACTTTTTGTTATGAATATGGAGCTTTTAGGACTCCTTCTGCCCTTTCAACTGGCAGAAATGGATCAAAATATGCAGGAAAATATTTTCTGGAGTCTAGATTTCACTCTTTTATTTTTTATTTAAAGAAATCTTTAGCATAGTTAATGAAAAATTAGTGGAAATGTGTTATTTATTTAGAAAGTACTAGCATTTAGTTTTATGAAACTGAATGCTAATTTTGTTTTTCATTAAAATGAACTGCATGTGTTTTTCCCCTTGCAGTGAACTGTATGAGATGTAAGGCTCTGCTGCTAAACAAAACTCTTATGTACAATTGCTGAAGTTTTAATACTGCCATTGCAAGTATCCTGTTGGAAATACGTAGCACAAGTCCTGAGACAGTCAAAACCACAGTCAGTCAAATTATCACATTTCTTCCCTGTTCCACTCTCCACAGTGTTCAAATGGGAATAAAATTAAGCTCTGTTATACTTTTCTTGCTCTATAAGTTTTTTAGCACATACTACGGAGTATTGGATACTTCCATCAAAGCTGTTGGCAACAGTTGAGTTGGGGTTTTGAAGCAGATCTATTTCCTTGTGAGGAAATAAGAGCTAGGATAAATGCTTGCATAAAGTGGGAGCAGCATCATGTACGTAGTCTTGGGGAAATTTCTTGGTATCACAAGAAATTAAATATTTTCTTCTGTCTAATCCAAATAATGCATTCACACATTACTTCAGTAAAAGTTTGCAGACAGGTGTGTGTCTTTCCCCACTTCCCCCCCTTCCCCCCCCCCCCCCCCCCCCCAACTATAATCCTTGATGTAATTTCTTTGTTCTAGATCTTATTTGATATCATCTGGATGAAATAACTTTTTTTCTTCTCCTTCAAAAAAGCTTGGTGTTTAGCTGCTGGGAAATGACAATGATGTTAGCAGTACACCTTGCTTAGGGAGATGGACAGATGTAGGTTAATATTTTATCATCCTTTTTAATTCAACATGATAAGAAAGGGAGGGTAGTTCACATAGGAGCATGTAGGAATGAGCCAGTGTGTCCTATGATGTCATTATACAGATGATGCTCAGCTCCATATAGCCTCTGACTTGGCTTTTGGAGCTTAACAATTTTCTCAGACTAGAATCTAAGTAAGTGTTAACTCACTCAAGTTCAGCTAGAGAGGATTAGAACAATGTACCTAGACTGCATTAAAAAAGAAATTTCATTAATAAAGAGCACGTGATCTACTATTTTCCTTTGTAATTTTGAGGTAAAGTCACAACCTTGCTTAGTTTACTGAGGAGCAGGCTGTGAAATAATAAAAAAAAGTAAAATAAAGGAATAGCCCTTTCCTCCAGTCCTCTCCCAGTGCAAACATTCTTCAGGAGGGAACACAGTGCTGGTGTGATGGGAACGACCTTTCTTTTTGGTTTCAGAGATCACTGCAATAACCCACAATGCTGCCACCTCAGTTTTGACTGTTTTTCTGGTCATGGTTGAACTTTAGGGTCACATCAACACTTAATTAAATGGTCCTTTAGCAGAGCATATCATCATAAATATGTAGACTTCCATAGATTTGGGTGTAGTTTGGTTTTGACTCAGATTTTCCAAATAGCTTAGTGACAATCTCTCTCCTCATATTACAGCAAAGACTGTGATCATTAGAAGCCTGAAGTTAAAGTTTTTTCCTTTAAAAGGGCAGAGACTGTTCCAGGAATGTGACATTTTTTTTTATTTTTTTTTTTTTGTCTTTTAGTAAGGGATCCTAATTATGGATTTTTTTTTTGCTTGTTTAGGGTGGTTTTTTTTGTTTGTTTTTTTGTTGTTTTTTTTTTTTTTTCCCAAATCTGTAGTCTTGTACAAACACTCCTAATTTTCCTCACCTTGCAATATTTACTTCCACTTCTTCCTATGACTGACAGCTCAAGGCACGAGTATTTCAGAAAGCTGCAAGGACCAGGTGTTCTTGCAACGACTCACAAGTACTCCATGGCAATCCCTTCCTGCCGTGGTGGCGCTTGTGGCCAGAGCCAAGCTGGGTGGGCAGCTGGATCCCAGGCCCCAGGATGACCCACCGGACCTGACCGCAGACACCCCCCTGTTTTGCTTCCTTCCTGGCCATGGCCGAGGAGGCTCGGTAGTCCCTGAGCCAGCATGGTCCTGCTGCTGGAGCCTTGCCTGAATAAAGGGGCAGCATTTGTATTCTGGTAAGCTCCGTGCAGCCCAACAGCCACAGATTGGCACTTCTCCACTAGACTTCTGACCCACTTGTTTCCAGGGTTTGCTTTCACGGTCTGTACATTATCTGCTGTCTCAGGGTATGGTTGGAACATGGGAAGGATTTAGCTGTTTGCAGCAGGCTGCCTAACAGCTTATCTGCTGTGGTGCTAAAGGGATGGTAAAGACAACTCAGTGAAAAATAGTTTTACAGTTCCTTAAAATTTTGTGGTCTGAATAAACCATGAAAAGTGCTGCATAAACTATAATAAACCTGGGTAAAGGCACCTTTTCTTTTATAAGTGGGAATGATGGCTTTATTAGTTTTGCTGGAGCACTAGCATGCTTATCCACTTGGACTTGTCTGTATCATGTTAAAGGTTGGATAGCACTTGGTTGCAGATAACTGGACCAAACAGTCATATCTCTTTAGAAAATGTTAGAGGAGGAGTAAATGTATACAAATCCACTAGTGTTTCTGTTTCTAAAATAAAAGTTTATAGGTTGCTTGCAGATTGCAAGATTGGATGTTTTTCAACATTTCATCTCCTAGGGTTTGAGGACAGAAAGAAATGTCCAGATCATCTAGTCTGCTGTTCTACATAGCATACACTGCAGGGCTTCCCTGAATAGAAGCTTTAAATAAGGCAGGGAAATCTCTTAGACCATCTTCTAATCTCCTGGACAATACTGCTGGTGGAAAAGAAGACATCACAGTGCTTGATTAATCGTTCTGATGTGAATGTTACCAGCTTCAGCTTCCACCCAGAAGGGTCTGTAATATCTTTTTCACCAACACCACAAGGCTGGAGAGAACATTCTGTAGGAGGGTATGTATGGAGACAGTTCATTTGATCCATATCTGGGGATGAACTGTCTTGTCTTTTCCTTCAGTTCCCTGCCAATTGTCCCCATAACCAGTTTTTTGTTGGCACTGCTTATGTGGCCATGGGGTGAACCAGCTCAGGGACCTGGTGCATATGAAAACCTTAAACAAGCAAACAGAAAATGGCAGATTAGCTGTCAATCAGAGCAGCTCCCTGAACTGGATCACAGCATAATAAAGTTACTAGTGCTAAGAGAAATGGTCTGATGACTAAACAGCGTGAGATCCTGTGGTCTGTCGATAAGGCATGTTACTTAGTCCTTTAGTCATCTGTCCTGGGTTTCAGTGAGTGGTGGGGTTTTTTGGTAGAGGGGAGGGGGATACAGGGGCAGTCCCCTGTGAGAAGCTTCTTAAAGCTCCCCCAGCTCCAAGTCAGCTCCACCTCTGCTCGAAAAACTGAGCCCATCAGCTGCACCTCTGCAATAACGTATTTAAGAAGGGACATGGTGACGAGCAGTGGGACTTGTGAGGAGGAGTTGCTGCAGCTGCGTGAACAC